CATGAAAGCTACACTTGAAAATAGACTATAGTGAAGCAAGAGGATGTATTTTCTTTCATCTTTGGCTCTGAGATCATCCTGAAAGGCCATCCCCATCATGCAAGAGTACCCTTTCTCTTTCTTTTTTAATTTAAAGTAACATTCAATGATTACATGTTTTAATTCCTAGGTTACATCACATCTTAAATTTTGCCTGCAGAATCAGATATTTGCTATTTTTCTCTGTAACCACATTCCTTGAAAATGGTCAGGAACAAAACCTAATGTGTAAAAAAAAAAATATTAGGCTTCAAAGAACTACAAGAGACATCTTGGTTCATTGTCTGGATGAACTTCACTTTAGGCTATCCAAAATTTACGAGCACAGAAACCCTTCAGATAATTAGAGTTAAGTTCAATCCCTCTGCCCACTTGGTCTTTCATATATAAAGAAGGCTTGTTTCAAGAAGAGGACAGGTGTCAGTGGGTCATGGGTAACCTGACAAACTTTCATTGGGTGCAGAGATTTTAAAATTAGCTCTATGGAGAGCCCCCACTCTCCTTCGGCACTGCATTAAAGATCACCCGGGGAAATTCTTTCCACATGTGACTAAACCTCAGCGCTCTAGTATTACATTCATTTCCTCATGTCCTATCTTCTGTGGAGGTGCTCTCTCCTTGTTTAGGAAAGAATCTTGAGATACAAGATTTGAAGATATTACATTGCCTCTCAGCATTACCCTCTTTAGACAAGTCCTTTAATCTTTCTTGAAGGTCTTATTTTTCAATCCTTTAATCATCTCTGTGGTAAAAAAACAAAGTTGCCATCCCTCTTTGTGTCTCTCTGGACATAGGCGCTGACTAGTGTAAGTCCTATGAGTTATATTTATGTTTTTCCATCCAAGTGCTACCTTTCCTGTTTAAATTGAAGTGTTGCTGTTGACTCACCATATCTTTTTTGAAAACAACAACAACAAAACATAGCTATGAACATAGTTCAAAATAAGACATGGAGTACACAAGTAAACCAGAATTATCTTTTCTTTGTATGACTCTGGTTCCTATTTCTTGGGAAAATATGAGCCTTGATTATCCATGTTCACCAAAAATAGGATTTATTAAGGCAGGAATATTAACTCCCATAAGCAAAATGATTGTTCCTTTCATCTCAGCAATTCTATACCTACCCACCTTCCAATTGACTTTTTATAGAATATTAGTTTGCATTAAAAAATCCATTTAATTGCATTGGAAAAACACTTCACTGCTACACTCCAGGCCGATGCCATGTTGCAGCTGCTCCTATTTAAGGGATAATTGTGCCTCACTCTTCTACAAGGAACTAATTCTGATTTTGAAAGGATTTGTCCTCACAGTTTATCCTGATGAGAGAGAACTGGATTATTGCCATGTAAAATAGCTGAATAGTCCTATTATAGCTATTATGCCACAAATGTTGGATATTGTTACAGATCAAAGTACTGTACCACACTCAATGGTACAAGCATGGCACACTTCCCATACTATGTAAAAAATACTGCATTTTATGACTCATTTAGTACCATGTGAGGTATCTGTGGGCCCTATGTCATTTCCTTCAAACTTTCCTCATCATTCTGAAATCCTTTATTTTCTGGTTGAAAGACTTACAATCTAGTCATTTCTCACTAGTCTCCCCAGGAAATAAACTTCAGTACTCTGTGTTCTTCCATTGCATTATATTACATATTGCATATCATTCTATCTTCCGTTTAAGTTACTTTAGGAAAATATTGAATAACTCTGGACAACAGTAAATTCTAACTGGGAAGCTGAAAAAAAAAGTAAACATTTCTCATCAAAACTATTGGTGATGTTTTTCGAACCTTTAAAATGTGTAGGACTCAATGTTGGTTAAGTTCTAAGAAAACAAACAGCTATTTCACCCCATGATCTTGTTACAAAGGGTAACCTGTAAATACATGAATACCAAGATGTCTTGTAGTACAATGTGGCCCATAGGAGGTGTTAAATGGATGGGATTCTTAAAAAATGAGGCTTCATTCTACAGGAGAGATTGAGGCATCAGCTAGTATTCAAGAGGAGGCCAGTGAAAGACTGAATATTAATTTAGTTATAAAATATGTCATGCTTTGAGCTTAGTTTTAATTTTGGCATTTCAAAATAAATCCCTCTATAAGATGCTCCATTCCCGTAGTCAATATGTAGAGGACTTCTACCTGTCAAGAAAAACTAGTTTGAAAATCTAACCAAAAATGCCCTCAAGAAGTGCCATTTTTTTTGTTTTGTTGCTAAATGAGTTTTATAAGACTCTCATAAATCATGGGTGGGATTAACTGTCCAGAGGATATTTTCCGTAAAGTAACATATTCTGTATGTAATTTGGAGGCATTGTGACAAGATTTAGGACTTACCTACATAGTACAAAGAGTCAATAAACATAAAATGTGGTAAATGCAAATAATTTCAAAGTTGAAAACATAACAATTATGAAACTATAATTAAAATGAAGGCAAGTAATGTTGAGAGAACAAAATCAAATGTTAAGTGTGGTTTGTAATTACTGGTTTGGGTTTCCAAAGAAATTTGTAAAACTAAATGAAACAGTGAAATTAAATGTAAAGAAATTAGGACCAGGCCTGGGACATGGTAGACATTTCATAGATTATTACTTCAGTACTAGTAAGGAGATATTTTGTTCACGGACACACATTTTCTGGCAATTAAAGTTTATAAAGTTCCTAGTTCGGACGACCAAATTGTAATCTGGACCTATAAACTAATTCACTTATGTTTAGTTAGAGTAATGGAGTAAATTGCCAGTTTGTTCTTTCTCTAACAGGGCCGCGCAGATGATGGGGTCCTGGGAGTGGTGACCCTCAATGTCTCCTGGGAAAAGCCAACACAAAATATCAATCCAGCCAGTAAACTGTATTTACTAAAATTTCCTGCTTTTAACATTCCATCTGTGCCCCTTACCTTTCCTTCTAGACCAGTGTTTCTCAATCTTTCTTAAAAGTTAAAACCAACTGGAGAGCACTAAAAAATTCCTGTGCCCAGACACTACTCTAAATGATTAAGTCAGAATCTATGGGAGAGGAACCCAGGAATGAGTGTTTTTTAAGCTTCTAGGGTGACTCCACTGACGAGACAAGGTTGGAAATACTGCTCTGGAGGAGACTATAAATACATCTAAAGTAGAAACTGTTTTAGTTTTTTTTATATGTCAACTTATACACAACACATAGCAAGCATAGTGCTTTGCTCTGCTCATCTGTCTTTGTTGAATAATGTACGAAAGAATAAATGGTGGACAAATAAATGAGTAAACTTAGCTATGATACAAGGTTGAATGTCCTAGAAACTGACAAGCAACATAATGTCACTCTACTATTTTATCTTCCAAATTCATAAGATTTACTCAGAGGTTTAGCTACTTAATTTTCCCCAAGTTTTTCTTGATAGCACACTCATTATAATGGAGTATTTTTTCAGATTACTCTGAGATGGTCTTTGTGGTCTACTCTCTATGGATGACTGACTGGAATTAGAGCTGTTTTTTTTCCTTTTTTTTTTGGATTAACGCTCACATTCCCACCTGAGTTGGGAGAAACTGAGCCTTCCTTCTGTATGTCTCATTTGCTCTCGCACTACTAGCACACTTACAACACTTCTGACACCAGATATGTGGGCTTTTTCTCCACATCAAGCAATCCTGTGACACCAGCTGGGTGTCCCACAATTTAACTCAATTTTGACACTCTCTACCTGGAGACAGCATCAGATGCCACAGGTTCAGGGCGCAGCTGAACAAGACTGCTCTCCGTCCGACTTCAGACACCAATCACAAGTTCAGGCTGTTACCCAGGCTTCTGGNGAGCCTTCCTCCTGTATGTCTCATTTGCTCTCGCACTACTAGCACACTTACAACACTTCTGACACCAGATATGTGGGCTTTTTCTCCACATCAAGCAATCCTGTGACACCAGCTGGGTGTCCCACAATTTAACTCAATTTTGACACTCTCTACCTGGAGACAGCATCAGATGCCACAGGTTCAGGGCGCAGCTGAACAAGACTGCTCTCCGTCCGACTTCAGACACCAATCACAAGTTCAGGCTGTTACCCAGGCTTCTGGCCATTTGGCTATAAATCAGAGTTTCCTAAGACTGCCTTCCTGGGTTACATTAATTTGCTAGAGCTGTTCACAGAACTCAGGAAAAGAGTTTACTTACTGTTTATTAATTTATTATAAAAGGATGTGATAAAGGATACAGATGAGTATCCAGATAAAAAGAGATGCTTAGGGCAAGGTACATAGGAAGGGGCGCAGAGCTTCCATGCCCTCTTCAGGACCAACATTTTCCCAGCACCTCCGTGTGTTCACCAACCAGGAAGCTCCCTGACTCAGATACTTCGGGGATTTTTATGGAGACTTCATCACGTAGGCATGATCAATCATTAACTCCATTTTCGTCCCCACCCCAATTGACCTTCGGGTCTACTCTCCATATATGAGTGACTAGGATTACGAGCTTTTAGGTCAACAGCTCACATTTTCAGCCATCACACCACTCCATGCACAAACCTATCACTTTTACTCTATACACTGCACGTGGAAGTCCTTTATTAACTGGAGGGACACACAGGTCCCATGCATTTGGGTTTTCCTTAAGATAGAGAAAAGTGGAAGGTCTGTGGAGCAAAGTAGAGATGTCATTATCTTCCCCAGGTGTCAAGACGTTGAAAATGATACTGCTCCCACCCCAAACCACTTCACCTTCCTGACATTCACAGGACCATCAAATAAAAAAGCAATTATGGGTTCCAATGGAGTTTTAAAATTTGTATTTTGAAATGATGTAGTATGTTGGTAATAAATGCTAGATCGATGGCAGAAACTTAAGCTTAAGAAATATTTAACTTTAACCTAAAAGGGTTGTTGTTGTTTTTATTACGGAAGGCACATTTTAGCATCTACTTTGGAAATTCTGAACACTGAAGTTACAAACAAAACTTCATTTAATTTTTTAAATAAATACTTTTATTAAGGGGGAAAGCATATTTTCTATTTCTTACTTTTTTGTGTGTGCCTTGAAGGGCCCGTAAATATGGAATTTCTTCTGAATCTAGTGGAGAGGAATTCGTTTTTCTTGCAGTTCTTTCTTCCTACACCAATCTTCACCATGTCGATCTTGAGATAGAGAGAAAGCTGGATTGGTGCTATTTATAAAACGACGAGGGGAAGAAAGAAAACACTGGCTTAAGAGACAAATGTAAGGAGCAGAAAGCAATGCTTAACTCAAGGTACCTAAAGGAGCCATGAACAGGTGCCTAAGCATGTTACTTTGAACATTTCCTACACTGTCTCGGTAGATTTTGTTCCAGACTCCCCTGCGTGCGCGTGACTGACGCTCTCCCACTGCAGAGAAGCATACAGCTGCGGGAAGGTCGCGGAGCAGCTGATGATGGACGAGCGCTACGAGGCTGTGCGGGCGGCAACACCTTAGAATCCTCCTGGTGCCAGAAACAAGTGACACAGGTGAAGTAGGCCAGGCTCTTCCGCAGGGTCTTGGGGCCTAGTGCGTGGGGTGCTTCCTCCCGAGAAGGTCAGTTATTACCCACTCCTGCATGGCCTTCCCACCAAGGACAGAGCCTCGATGACGAATCTGTTGGACAGCGGCCAAGGCACACGAAACTTTCCTGACCACCTGGAAACACGACGCTACAAGTACCGGGGTTTAAGAGGCAAGGCGGGAAAACCTGATTGGTGATCTCTTCGTCCCACTTACCAGTCAGAGAAATGGGGACAATGCTTCCAGGGGGTCCGCGGACCTCTGAGAGCACTGCTGGGCTTCCCACTATTAAAGACAAGAATCCCGTAATGGGCAGCTGGCCAGCCCACGTGGTCCCCCTCTAGCCCTCTCGAGTGTGCGGATCATTGCTCCCCTCTTTACCCTCTGGGTAACCCCTGTGCTCTTCTGCGAGTCCTTAGGCAGTCTTAGCTTCCCCAACCCTCCCGCGGGGCACAGATCACGGCAGGGGAGGGCTGGAGACCCGAGTGAACAGCGGCTCATCCGCACCCTGAGGTTCCCCTGCGTCCCCGGGACAGCAGCCCACTCACAGCGCACAGAGGGTTCGCGCGCTCTGCGTGTTTCCGGGTCCCCAAGAACGGCGCTGGGTGGAACAGTCACCTTTCCAGGGGCTGGGAGCAGGGATGCGGGCGCGGACGCGGGATAGGGAAAGCCACGGACCGGGAGGTGGGGTTCGCGGGGATGGAAGTGGGACGGCCGCCGAGGGGCGGTGAGCGAGGGGTGGGGCCGG